GCTCTCAGTTTTTCCCCATTGAGGATAATATTACCTGAGGCTTCTCATAGATGGCTTTTATGATCTTTAAGTAAGTTCCTTCTATCCCGACTTTCTCGAGGGCCTTTACTAAGAAAGGATGCTGTATTTTGTCAAATGTTTTTTCTGCATATATCAACAGGATCATATGGTTTTTATGTTTTCTTTTGTTGATGTGATGTATCACATTGATTGATTGCAAATATTGAACCAGCCCTGTAATCCAGGAATGAATCCCACTTGATCTTGGTGGATAATTATTTTTATGTGCTGTTGGATTAGATTTGCAAGTATCTTGTTGAGGTTTTTTGCATCCGTATTCATCAAGGATATTGGCCTGTAGTTCTCTTTTTTTGCTGGGTCTCTGTCTGGCTTGGGTATCAAAATGATACTGGCTTTGTAAAATGAGTCCGGAAGTTTTCCTTCAATTTCTTAACATGGAAGGTTAGGCTATTGATTTGAGTTCTTCTTTTTTAATATAGGCTTTTACAGCTATGAATTTCCCTCTAAGTACTGCTTCTTGTAGGTTTTAGTATGTTGTATTTTGCTTTTCATTTATCTCAAACTATTTTCTAATTTGCCTTGTAATTTCTTCTTTGACCCATTAGTTATTTAGAGTGGGTTTTATAATTTCCACATATTTGTGAATTTACAAATTTCCTTCTTTTATTGATTTCTAATTTCATTCCATTGTCATTTAGAACATACTGTCAAACCCTTTAAATGTATTGAAACTTGATTTATTGCCAAAAATATGGGTCTGTCTCACAGAATGTTCCATGTGCACTTGAGAATATGGATTGTGCAATTGGTAGGTAGAGTCTTCTTTATATGTCTGTTAGGTCTAGTTGGTTTATAGTTGTTCAAGTCTTCTATTTCCTTAGACCTTCTGTCTGTTTTTGCCTATTGTGGAATGTGGAGTATTATTGAATGTGGGATAATAACAACCATCATTATTGAATTGTCTATTCTCTCAGTTTTTGTTTCATGTACTTTAGGAATTTGTTGATGTATATACATATGTGTGTGTATGTATTTTTTAATTGTTATATCTTATCCACAAATGGACCATTTCAATATTATGAAATGAAACATTTGTCTCTAGTATCAATTTTGTGTCTTAAAGTCAATTTCAAGTGATATTAGTATAGCCACTTCAGCTTTCTTTTGATTACTGTGTGCATAGTATATTTTTTCCGTGAGATTCTGTTTATATACTATTTCCTTTCCTGTTCTTTCAACCTGTTTGTGTCTTTGAATCTAAAATGAGTCACTTTAGTAGCATATAGTTGGATCATGGATTTTTAAAAATCTTTTCTACCAATCTCTGACTTTAATTGTGGTATTTAATCCATTTAAATTTAATGTCATTACTAAAAAGGTAGGACTTTATTCTGCCATTTTGTAGTTTCTTTTCCATATATCTTTTTGTTCCTTAAAACTTCATACTGCCTTCTTTTGAATTAAATATATATTTCTTAGAGTGCCATTTTGATTCCGTATCATTTCTGTTAGTCAGTGTTTCCTGGTGTTATAATTAATATCTTAGCTTATAATTATCTAGTTCAGACTAATACCAACTTGATTTTAAGAGCATGCCAAAACTTTTTTCCTGTACAGTTCGATTCCTTTCCTGCTCCTTTGTGATGTAATTATAATACAAACTATGTCTTTATATCTTGTGCTGCTCATCAACATATATTTGGAATCATTGCTTGATGCAATTCTGTTTTAAATCATATAAGAGTTACAAAAATATATGCTCTCTTTTATGTTTACCAATGTAGTTACCCTTATTAGTGCTATTTATTTCACTTTTTTCCCTTTTTTTTTAATTGAAGTATAGTTGACACACAATGTTACATCAATTAGTTTCAGGTATACAACATAGTGATTCAACAACTATATATATTATGCAATGCTCATCACAAGTATAACTACCATCTGACACCGTACAATGCTATTACAATAGCATTGATTGTATTCCTTATGCTGTACCTTTCAGCACCATAACTTATCCGTTCTATAACTGGAAGCCTGTACCTCCGACTCCCCTTCATCCTTTTGCCCATCCCTCTACCCTTCTTTACCTGGCAACCATCAGTTTGTTTTCTTTCTTTCTTTTTTTAATGTTTATTTTTGAGAGAGAGAGAGACAGAGCGTGAATGGAGGAGGGGCAGAGAGAGAGGGAGACACAGAATCCAAAGGAGGCTCCAGGCTCTGAACTGTTAGCACAGAACCTAATGTGGGGCTCAGATTCACGAACTGTGAGACCATGACCTGAGCTGAAGTTGGGCATTTAGTCGACTGAGTCACCCATGTGCCCCCTGTCAGTTTCTTTTCTGTATTTATGAGTCTGTTTGTGCCTTTTTTTTTTTTAACAGAAAGAAAGCAAGTGGGGAGGAGGGGCAGAAAGAGGAAGAGAGAATCTTAAGCTCCACACTGAGCCCGACGTGAGGCTCGATTTCACGACCCTGAGATCATGGCCTGACCCAAAATCAAGAGTTGGACACCACTGAATGTCTCAGTTGGTTAAGTATCTGACTTCAGCTCAGGTCATGATCTCACAGCTCATAAGTTTGAGCCTTGCTTGCGTCAGGCTCTGTGCTGACAGCTCAGAGCCTGGAGCCTGCTTTGGATTCTGTGTCTCCCTCTGTCTCTGCCTCTTTCTCACTCATGCTCTGTCTCTTTCTCTCAAAAATAAACATTGAAAAAAAATTTTTTTTAAAGTTGGACACTTAACTGATGGAGCCACCCAGGTGCCCCTGTTTCTGCCTTTTTTTTTTTTAACAAAAATTTGCTTGTTTGTTCATTTGTTTTTTATATTCCACGTATAAGTAAATCATATGGTATTTGTCTTTCTCTGTCTGACTTATTTCACTTAGCATAATGTCCTCTAGGGTCTATCAATGTTGGTGAAAATGGCAAGGTATTTTTTTATGGCCGGGTAATATTCCTCTGTGTGTGTGTGTGTGTGTGTGTGTGTGTGTGTGTGTGTGTGTACACTACATCTTCTTCCTCCATTTATCTGTTCCTAGATACTTAGGTTGCTTCCATGTCTTGGATATTGTAAATAATGCTGCAATAAATATAGAAGTGCATATATCTTTTTTGAATTAGTGTTTTCATTTTCTTTGGGTAAATGCCCAGTAGTGGAATTACTGGATCATATAGTATTTCTATTTTTAATTTTTTGAGGAACTAATATACTGTTTTCCACAGTGGCTATACCAATTCACATTCCCACCAACAGTGCAGTAAAGCATTCCTTTTTCTCCACATCCTTGCCAACACTTGTTATTTCTTGCCTTTTTGATTCTAACCATTCTGACAGATGTGAGATAATATCTCATTGTGGTTTTGATTTGCATTTCCCTGATGGTGAGTGATGCTGAGCATCTTTTCCTGTGGCTTGACTGTCTGTCTGTCTTCTTTGGAAAAATGTCTATTTAGGTCCTCCGCCCATTTTCAATCAGATTATTTTTTGGTGTTGAGTTGTAGAAGTTCTTTATATAGTTTGAATATTAACCCTTTATCAGATATATCATTTGCAAATATCTTTACCCATTCAGTAGGTTGCCTTTGAGTTTTATTGATGATTTTCTCACTGTGCAAAAGCTTATTTTGGGATAGTCCCAATAGTTCATTTTTGCTTTTGTTTCTCTTGCCTGAGGAGGCAGACATATCTAGAAAACTGTTGCTAAGGTTCATATCAAAGAGGTTACCACTTATGTTTTGTTCTAGAAGTTTTATGCTTTCAGGGAGGTGTTGTATATTTGAAGAGAAGCAAAACTGGATTGTTTCACCTGTGTATGTGACATTTTCTCTTTTAAAATTTGGGCCTCAGATTTTCCATTCTGCAGAAGAGAGATTCAAATATATCTCCCCGTCTATTCTGTAAGGCTCTGTGAACTAAATGTTGTTAGGTTCGTGGAGATGCTTTGGTCCCTTTGGAAGAAAAGCATGTAACTTCCTCAAGGCTCCATTTTTGTTACTTCCAGTTCTACTTCCCACTGTGTGTCCTTGATCAGGCTACTGAACCAGTGCTTCTGTTGCTCCAACCAGCCTCCTCTTTTTTAAGGAAGAGACAATTCTCATTCTTCCCGTAGACATGACAGTAAATTTAAATTGCTTTATATGTCTTTAAAATTACTTGAGGGGTACCTGGATGGCTCAGTCAGTTGAGTGTCCAACTCTTGGTTTGAGCTCAGGTCATGATCCTAGAACTGAGCCCCATGTTGGGCTCCACACTCAGTGTAAAGCCTGTTTAACATTCTCCCTCACTCTCTCCCCCCCAAATAAAAATAAACAAACAAACAAACACACAAATAAAATTACTTGAAGATGTTAAGGAAAAACTTGTTATTTGCAGTTTGACTGGCAATCAGGATTATTTTTGCATAAATGGAGTATATTTTACTGCAATCCTGTATATGATTAGTGGAAGTTTTTTTTTTACATTACCCATAATATTAGAAAGAGTTTTGCAACCTCCTAGAGTCCTTATCATCTCGCCTACCCTCCCTCTTTGTGTGTGTGTGTGTGTGTGTGTCTAGTATCTCCCTAGTTCTGTTAAATCCAAGCCTCTCTGTGAAAAGTGTTTAGAACTCACAGCTTTTTAAAAAATTGTGCTAATATATATAACAAAATTTGCCATTTTAGCCATGTTTAAATGTACAATTCAGTGGTATAAAGTACTCTCACATAGTTATAAAATGTGTGTATCTCTTTTTGAAAATGTAGATTCCATAGTTGCTGGACAGTGTTTGTTTGGGGGATCCAAAATTGTGATTCAAAGTAAACAGTATGGACTATACCATTTTTCTGACTTATTTTGTGGAAGCTGTGGGTTTTATAAAATGTGGTCGGTGTTGATTTCAGTAGCCATGCTTCATTTTCCTCATTTCATTTCTGAGAATGATGTAAACAACCTAATCGTTCAGACACAGAATGTTTAACTCACCTCTCTCTCGGTGTCGCAGGTTGCAAGGCAGGCAGGAACTAACTCGGGGACAGCCATGTCAAGAGGATTGTATCAACCGGCAACAATCTTTATGGGCCGCCAAATGTCAGCCGTCTCAAGCATTGGAGGTTTCAGTACAGAGCAGAAATCTTCCCAGCCCACAAAGAACTTTTCAATTCCTGACCCACATTCACACCAACAGACAGCCCAGAGCGGTAATGTGACAGACAGCTATGTAGTACAAACTAATAGTGACACACAGTGCTTAAATAAGTCTGACAAAATAGATGGAAAGACATCTCTTCAGATTGGTGAGAAAACGCCAGTCACAGCCAGCGCATTGTCTGAGGAGGAACAAACTCATTGCTTGCAGATAGGAAGCAACACGCGTCACGGCGAGAGTAGTTTATCTGAAGGCAAAAAGTCTGCTGAACTCCATTCCCCGTTACAGGAAAGATTAAGTCCAGAGAACAGAACCACTGATTTACAGTGTGACAGTTCCAGCAGATCAGAGGGATCAGAGGGAGAAATACTGACACAGGAACGTATTGAAGTCAAGGAAGAAAGAGCCAGACCGCCAGTCTCTCTGCTATCAGTCTCAGAATACTGTGCATCTGTAAATAAGTGTTCTCAAGAGAAGGATTCTGCTTGGGAAGGTTTCTCAGGTGGGGTGAGAGGCTGACATTGTTTGCTGATTTTTGTTGGTGTTTAGGTTTTGGGGGTGGTGGCGGTTATGTAAGAACAAAATAAACTCTTTAATTTTATCTGTGTCAAAAAGCAAACCAGTGACTTGGCCAAAAAATTCCATTCTCATGAGTTTTTGAATACACACGTGGAAATATATTTGCAAGCTAATTCACTGATTGTAAAACCCCCTCTGATAGTTTTAAAGATATTTATAATGATTTTTTGCATACTATAATTAGTTGTGGATTGTTTCTACATGTTTTAAACTGAGTAATTTATCTGCCTGTGAGGCAGAATGTGTTAACCTTGCTTCTCCCTGAAGTTGGTGATCAGTAGTCTGTTCATATCGCCTCTTACAGATCATCTTCCTCCCAGAGACCCAGAGTCACAGAAACCCTTCAGAAACATGCACGAAGAGCAAGAGGAGGAGATTTTGAGCAGCAGCAGCAGTGATCTCACAGTTTCTGTAAGTGAAGACGATCTGATTTTCAAGAGTCCAGAACCACAGCCAAATCCAAGTGACACGATGGAAGGAGAAGATGGAACAGAGGACTTAAAATTAATCCACATTCAGCAAGAACGAGATGTCCTATCCACCGAAAACCATAATTGTATTTTGCAAACCCCAGGCTCTCCTGATTCAAAAAAGGAATCCGCCACTAACTCACCAACAAGAGAGTAAGCCGTCCAATTTTTTTTTTTTTTTACTGTTCTGTTTTTAATTATAGACATTTTTAGAGACCGTTCCACTGGGAATATATTATTGAACCTTCAGGCATGGATGTGTAAGTTCCTTAAGTCTCATAAACAGTCTTTTAGATAACGTTTAATTTTCTTTTTTTTTTTAACAAAATAACGTGATTGGCAGTTTATAATTATATCCAAACAATCCCTGGTTAATTCATAAGTCATTCCCTCCCACACCCTGCCCTCCAGCATTCTAGAAAGTAAATCATTTTGAAGTTGTGGTAGCACAGAAGGTGACAAATAGTTAAACTTACTAGGAGTTCAGCTTTAGAGGCTAAGAACTTTGTATCTAATTAATTTGCTTAATCCTTCTATTCCTTGCCACTGTGTCTTACAGTTAAACATGAGTTTATAAGTTCTGCCAAGCATATTTCCAAGTCAGCTTTCGTTTTTTGAATGAAGACACTGGAATCTTTAATATTAAATAGGAACAACATTCATGTTATACATTCTGAGCACTTCTTATATACAACTCATAAGAGCTCACAAATGATTTTTCACTATTGACTGGAGATACTGGGGGGAATTATGTAGAAAGCATTGAAACTGTTAGGAAACCAATTCTCCAATGAAAAATAGCACTAATAGGATCACATGTCTTGTGGGGGTAGAAGAAACCTAAGTAAACAACCTAAGGTAGATGCCATCTTTTAAGAATGAGGAAACCAAGGCGGGGGCATAGGAGTGACATTTGTGCTATGGGGGCAGACCTGCCTCCCTCACCTCCATGCTACCCCCAGAACTTTCTCTTAAACTCTGATAATGTCACTCTTTTCAATGGTCTCAGCACCAGTGAAAAGACAAGTAGGCATTGTTGCATATTGGGATATATACTCTCTTTGAGAGCACTGTTGTACCTTTCGGTATATTGCTTTTTCCCATTCATAATCTAATTATGGTGAAAAGTTTAATTTATAGTTTGACTCCAAGAGTTCAAGAAAGATTTATTAAGAGCACACTGAGTACAAAGTACTTGTACTATGGATGGAAGAACTGACAAACTTCCTGTCCTTACTTATTGTGGAGGCAAGCCAAGTGAATTTTTCTAGTCATAAGACTTCTCTGTCATCAAAGAGGTACAGTTATTTTATACTACACCACTGGAAACTTTATTACCAGAGATAAAATCATCTATTTTGGGTTTTGTATTCAAAGTATCCTTTTCATAGCAATCCATTGATCAAGTTAGCACTTTGGTAGGCTACCAAGGGGGCTAATGTGCTAGTGTCCTTACTCGAGATTAGTCTTTTCCTGAGATGAGAAAGATGAGGATGTGTGTGGAATTAAGAACACTCTATCCCCATTTCTCCTATGTGAATGACTTTTTCCCATGACCTTAAAGCCAAGCTCCTTGGAATTTTGGAATATGGTTTTCCAAAACTTACTGGGAAATATGGTCATTTGGGGAACTTTTGAATATTTGTCTTAAAAGAATGCCCCCAGAATAAAAGGTCTGTCAGCAGTGGTTGATGTCTGTGCTATCAAATTTCAGCCTATTGATTTTCTGTGGTGAAAGTATTCCCCAAGAATAGGTTGGAAGTGCTTTTAAATGATGCTGGTTAACCTGCTGACCTTCCCACTGCTTTGTAGGCCCTGCTTTCTCTTATTTATTCTTTAGCATGAGTTGTTCTTCCTTGCTCTGAAGGTTGATTATTAATCTGGGGCTATAGCGTTGTATTTACAGAACTGACACTGTGACCTCAAAGGTTCATTATCTCAGTTAACTTTAGGGTCTTTTTGGGACTTGGAGAAAAGTCCCTTGAACAAATTTTAGTTAAGAAAGATGAGAGATAGGACAAAGGCAGACACACAGAAAGACAGAAACAGGAAACTGGACTGTCTGATTTGATGATAATGATGATGATAGTTATTATGTTTTAGCACATCTATGGCCTGCTAAATTGCTGTGTTTGTACATGAAACTTGGTCTTAAGCTTCCTGGCAGTAAAGGGGAAAAGAGGAATACAATATTCTGGATAGCTTCCATGTGAGGGGAAAAGTGAGGCCAAGGATTATTGTTGTGTTGTTTGGTTTTTGTTTGTTTTGTTTAGAAAAAAATTTGATGGCTCTATTGAACTATAATTCACATACCATACAGCCCACCCATTTAAAGTATATAATCCAAGGGTTTGGGGTATATTACCAATTTGTGAAAACTGTGCTAAAATGTAAAAAACATTTTAAAATAGCCATTTTAAGCATATAATTTAGGGGCGCCTGGGTGGCTTAGTCGGTTAAGCGTCCGACTTTCACTTAGGTCATGATCTCGCTGTTCTTGGGTTTGTGCCCCGCTTCGGGCTCTGTGCTGACTGCCGGCTCAGAGCCTGGAGCCTGTTTCAATCTGTGACTCCCTCTCTCTCTGACCCTCCCCTGCTCACGCTGTCTCTCTCTCTCTTAGAAATAAAACATTAAAAAAAAATAACCATATAATTTAATGACATTAATTACATTCACCATACTGTGCAGCCATCACCACTGTCTGTTTCCAAAAGTTATTCCTCACCCCAAATATAAACTCCATAAGCATTAAGCAGTAACTCTCCATTCTTCCCTCCCTCCATTCTTCCCAGTGTCTGGTAACCTCTAATCTACTTTCTGTCTATGAATTTGTCTATTCCGTTGGCAATTATACATTATTTGCACTTTTGTGTCTGGCGTATTTCAGTTAGTGTAAGATCTTTTAGGTTCATACATGTTGTTGGGAGTATCAGAATTTCATTCTGTTTTATAAATAATATTCTGGTGTATGGACATACCACAATCCGTATATCCATTCATCTGTTGATTGGATTGCTTCTACCTAAAAGCCAACTGTTTTTGAGATGCTTCATGACCCACTCCCATGGATACTTCCAGATATTGAAAACCAGGCTGTACTTCATGCACAATTCCTTCATAGCAAGTTATAATTAACCCTTCTCACAAGAAAGCATACTAAAATAAAGCTGAGTTTTTAAAAATGTCAAAAGGAAGACCTAGAATCTCTTTATTCTTTTTTTAAAATGTTTTTATTTTCTATTTTTGAGAGAGACAGAGCATAAGCAGGGGAGGAGCAGAGAGAGAAGGAGACATACAACCTGAAACAGGCTCCAGGCTCCAGGCTTCAGGCTCTGGGCTGTCAGCACAAAGCCTGATGTAGGGCTCGAACTCATGAACCATGAGATCATGACCTGAACCAAAATCGGACACTTAACTGACTGAGCCACCCTAGATCCCCTAGAATCTTTTTATTCTTAAAGAGTAAATAGTTTGCTGCAAACATTGGTACAATCCTCCGTGACATAAAACACCAGACATTTACCGCTTTCCATGTGTCAGGTGGTTGGCCCAGTGTCAGTTGGGGCCTCAGGGATAATTTGCCCACATGCTCCTCTTCATCTGGGAGAATAGTTTAGCCTGTTACCTCGTGGTGGTAGCAGAGTTCCCAAGACAGCAAGAGGGCAAGCCCCAGTGCCCAGATGCTTTTATAGTGTCTGCCTGAGTCATGTTTGTAAGTGTACTGTGGCTAAAGAAAGGCACAAGGCCCAAGCCCAGAGTCAACAGGTGGAAAAGTCATGGAGTCCACCTCTTGATAAGTGGCAGAGTCATATTACAAAAGAGGGGACACACAGGGATGGGCAGTTTATGGTCATTTTTGCAAACCTCCACAGTATTTTAGGACAAATTCAAATGAGAGTTAAGTTAAACATGAGTCCACAGGTCAGGAAAGGTTTTTATACAGGGGCTGATGCGTCATCTTGAAGTCTGTTGTAAGAAGGAGGTGGGAAGAGGTGAGTTAGGTCTCCGAGAAGAGTGCTAGCAGGCATGTAGATGCTGAGAGCACAGAGGGGATGGGAGGGCAGAGCAAAGAGTGTGATTGAGGCTCAGTGAACAGGACACTTTGAAGTAAAGGTTTAAAATGGTGCCTGAGGCATGACTGAGAACAGACCTAGAATATCTGGTTAATGAATTGAGTTCATTTTCTACCTTTTGCACAACTGCTGAAGGATAGTATGGTGAGTAACTTCACTTAGGAGAATTAATCTGACATGATTAGTTTTGTCAGGATTAATTATCCACGAGGTAGGCAGAATTCTAAGGTGGCTCCCCAGAGTCCTGCCTCCTGGTGTGTACTCTGTGTAATCCCTTTGCCTTGAGTGTGGGCAGGACTGTGCATCTTATGGATTCCCCCCACACACACACAATTACTCTGTTAAATGACAGATATCAAGAATTTTGCAAATATAATAAAGACGCAAATCAGTTGCTTTTGAGCTAATCAAAAAGCCCTTACTGAAGTCAGGGATTCAAAGCAGCTGATACAAACAGGATGTTTGCCTTGAAAAAGCAAACTGTCATCTTGTGGAGAAGGCCTCATGGTAGGAAATGGTTGGCCGGAAATTCATTTGCCAACAACCAGTGAATTTGGAGGAGGACTCAGACTTAGACAAGATTGCAGACCTGGCCAGCAACTTGATTTCAGCATGGTGAGACTCTGAGACTAAGACTCCTCTAACCTAGCCCCAGACCTCTGACCCACAGGAACTGTGAGAAAGGTTTATGGTAAGTGAAATTTCTGGTAATTTGTTATGCAGCAGTTATGATCCAAATGAAAAATTGGAATCAAGGATTGTATCTTTGCAAGGATTTTATGGGTAGAAGTCACTACCCATAGTGACCCAAAACAGGCTAAATCAGGTGTGTTCAGGGTCCATTGTGGGAGTACATGGTGCTAGGGTGGCAAACTGAGCAACCCAGCAGCCAACCTGTGCTTTCTCTTGCCCTGTACCCTCACCATCTGAGCAAGTGCATTTTCACACATGGCCACATGCAGCTGAGCAAGCATGGAACATGGTCTGCTGTTAGGGACCCTAGAAAAATGGGTGTGCACATCTGTATCACTCAACAACCAGTTTCTCATGCAAACAGTATTTCTCTGGTGCCTTCTCTAG